CTAACCAGAAGGCTGGCGGTTCAAATCCACCAGCCACTCCTCAGAAGGAAGGTTGGGCAATCTACTTCCATAGTGATACTGCCTTGGAAACTCAAGGAGGGGTTGCTATGAGTCGGGGCCGACTCGACGGCACATAACAACAACAACAACAACTTAATTTAGCTTAGTTTCCTTTTCACATTGTTCTGTAAGTTTTCCTATTTCCAATAAAACTTGGCTTTCCAGCCTCTCCCTTGACTGAATTTGTCTCTGGATGGTCACCAATGGCCTCATCACCTTGTCTAGGGGTTGATTTTCCTTCCTCTTATCTTCTATTGCACTTGACAACATCAACAATATCCTCCCTGCCCTCCAGATCCAGACATGGCAGCTTTGATAGCCTTTGACGGTTGCCTCACACAGATTCAGATTCCTCTATATTCTCAGAGAGATCCTTGCTTCTCCCTTTAGTTGGCGTTTCTACCCAGCACTCCCATTCTCCCTACCTTTCTCTCATAGACCAGGACACACCTGCTTTGTGTCTCTACTGGGGAGCCTAGCATAGTACATGGCTCAGGGAGAAGGAGTACCCAAGGAATGTCTATCCAATGAGTGAGCAACAAAGCGCCAAAGGTGTATGACTTTTCTGTACCTTTTTGCATTTTGTAGAGATTTCTCAATGACATGTAAGAATTCCTATTAAGAGTTGGGGATAACCTGGGTTCTCAAGGAACAAAGCTTTAATCAAAGCTTTAATAGAATCAGGACAGCTACCAGTGGAGTTGATAACCTTAAGTTGGAGGAAACATAAATTATAAATTCAAACTGGGGAGCAGAGGAGTTAGTGGCTCATATCCTAATGGTAACATCAATCCCAAGCTAAAGTGAGAATTCCTATACAACTCAGATGACGTGAGGGGGACCTGAAAGCTGTCCCAAGGAGAGTTTTGTTTACCTGAAGGACTGCACCTGCCGAGGCACCTTCCGGCTCTGCTCCCTAAGCCGACACACATCCTTGGAGACTTGCCGCATCAACTTCTCAGCATTCAAATCTTGCTTCTGTTCTTCTTTTGACTGTTCAGCCTGGCAAAGGAAATGAAAACACAAAAACAAAAACATTAATGAGAAATCCCTCAAGATGTGCTACCAGGCTTGAAAGACTGTAAACTAAAGCCCAGAAGGGCAATCTACACAGACAAGGTGGGTGTCTTTTCTCACTCATCCGATGACAGCTCCAACGAGCCCAACTCATATTGATGTGGAGTAGCCAGCAATTCAGGGCACGCTTACTTCAACTGCATGGAAAACATCTCAGTATGTAAGCAAAGTGCGTCCATTTTATTACAACTGGCAAACCTAAGAATCTCCCCCTACCCCCCAAAAAATAAATAAATAAATGGAAAACTACTTGTAACACTGCTTCCAGAAAATACCTACTATTGATATTTCGGTGTATACTCTCAACTTTTTATTCATGTTTTCAATCTTTTTTCTCTTTCTGGGCCATTTTAAAAGCTATTCATTGAAGTAAAATATACATACCACAAAACTACACATAAGCGTACAGCTCAAAGAACTTTCAAAAACTGAACACAACCATGTAAACCAGCACCAACACCAAGAAAGAGAACACTATCAGTTTCCAGAAGTCCTCTTGGGCAGCTTCCTAGTCACTACCCCTCTAGGGAGCTCTGGCGGCATAGTGCCTAAGGGACTGAACTGCTAACCAGAAGGCTGGCGGTTCAAACC